CACCTCTTTATCCTTGTTGCTGCTGAACCACAGCTACACTAAAAGTGTAGAATTCTGTGTGCTGAACTCAAACTCGAAGAAAAACACGTTTTTAAAAGTATGAACAACAGCAACGGGTTTGGATCAAGACTGAAAGTTTGAAAGTTCATCAACGAATAGCCTAATTGATGCACACAAAAGAAACTGCCCCTGTGTCGACACGGCACTAGATTTCTAGATCTACAAAATTGTGAATGTACGCGACGATGGACTCTACTGAAGAGGAAGCTGGGATAGATTCTAGATTCTAGATCTAGGCCTAGTTTTAGTTTTTTTGTAAGAGAGTTTTGCGGCACTCGCAACCAAATAAGGCGGAAGATTTGAGAGGGTAAAAAAACAACAACACATACATGTAAAATAGAAGGGGGAAAGATCAGGACGATGTTTAAAGGGGAAAGAAGGAGCAAACCTCCCCAGAGCACCCGCCAACCACCCGCTCGAGGACTAATTCAAGTACGGTAACCAGGACAATTGTTTTGTCGTTGTTTGTTACAGTTTGTACAAAACTCCAAATATCTTGTCCTCCAACAATGTAGATCTTTCTGTGACAGATAACTCCATCTTTCTGGGTCGCCATAAACAAATTATGTAGACCAGGTGTCTGTTTTACTGTCTCAGTTTAGGCCTAGTTGGTTCTTGCGTCCCCCCCCCAAGGTTGCCCACTGGTCATGTTTAGTTAGTGTGTGTACATGTGCATGATGGTGGTGTGTGTGTGGTGGGTGTTACTGAAGGTTGTCTGTAGGCGGGCTTGTCATGCGGTGTTCCTTCCCAGATCAGAGGCAGAATGAAAGTTGGCGCCGAAGTCTCGCAATAAATAGGCAAAAAATCACGAGACCGGAAGCCGGAAACGTTCGGAGAAATAAAGATCGGCACTATTTCTCCGAACGTTCGGAGAAATAGTCACTTCGTATAAAAAAATTGTAGACTCGCCATTCCACAAAAGACTGGACAGAGTTTTTTACCCGAGCCTGATTCAAGGTTAAGATCTAGCTAGATCTAGAAAAATCTAGTCTAGATCTAGATCTAGATCTACATCTAGCCTTTATTTTTATAATGATATGACATGATAAGATTGTTGTGAACAGACAGCAGCGTGAGACAATTTATATACTTGTACGTTGAGCGGGTGCCCTGGCCCTAGTTTCTTTAAAAAACTGACCAAAACTTAGGAGGTCCGAGGCCAAGAAACAGGTTTTCAATCCATAACTGAAAGGAAGAGCCTAACTCAACTAACTGAAAATGAGTCATAGGCCTACAGTAAATTAAAACTAGACTTTCTAGCTCTAGACTTTTTTTTAGTTCAGGGAAAACGACAAGTCACTGTCGTGTCACACAACAAGTCAAAAGCAACATAACATAGCCTTACATAGGCCTTGAATTTGAACTTCCATGAACCCTAACCTAAATTTCTAAAATTAGAAACAGTAGCTGAGAACAGACTGTGATAAAAACGAGAGCATGTTTCACTGTGTGCGACTTACCGTTGTTCCATATTTTAAAGCAATTCCCATCAGCGTATCGGTTTGCTGAATCTGTCGTAAAATAAATCTCCTTGTTTTTGGTGTTGACTTTATCGTGGCCGAAGACACGGGTGCAGTGCCATAACCCATCTGACTGCGGAAAGAATGAGTGAGACCCCGTCTTTCCTCCTCACCAGAAAAATGCGAGGACATGATTCACAAGCAGATACTTAGCACAAACTGAAGTCATTCGAAAAGTCACAACGTGAAATATCTAATTGCCCATTCAAGGAAGCTCATTGTGGTCTGTCGACAGGTCATGTGCCACAATAATGAGTGCAGGGCTACTGTAGGACTTCCTTGGAGAACAATATTATTGGTCATTAGCCTCGTTTCGAAATCACGTTTCCGCTTCCTGTTCTTCTGATTACTTTTGCCAGGACTTTGGCCACCCCTAGCCAGATAGGCTAGCCTAGGTTTCAAAACAAACATTTTTATATATTAATTTATAGATTTAAAAGACAAACAAACAAATAATAAAAACACCATCTTTTGGCCATAATAATGTAAGTTCTGTTAGATTTACATCTATAGCTTTGTGGACATGTTCATGGGCGCTCTTATTTCCCCATAACAAACCATGTCTATGTCAGTACGTGAAGAGGGATCTATACGTCTGCCC